TTATTTCAGTATTGCCTTGAACTTAAACACGATTCCTTTTCTACCTTTTTAGTTGCTGCTTTTCTCATCTTACGTCATTTTGTTGTTTCTCTGTAAAATCTGGCGCAAGAATTGTCTTTGGGAATATTAAATCTTCCCTTAACTTGGCTAGTTTTCCTTGTTTTAGATGTAAAAACACGAAACATGAACAAACAGCAGAGGATCATTCAGTAATGACGTAACAGCTCCGTCAATGATCTGCTGCCACGACTAAAACTAAACTAAAACCAAACGGGAACGTTGATTTGTTTATACAGTTTTACTGGAAAAACAAAAACCTGGATAAACGGCTCCTTCTGTGTTTAATTTGTCAACTTTGAACCGAAGCAGCTTCAAACATTAGTGAGGCTCATTAAACAGTCACCGCTCAGCGTCTGTGATTCTGCATAAAGACGATGATCAGAGTTAATGTTCAACAGGCTGAATGGAGATATGAAGCTAACGAGCAGCTGAAGCTTGTGTCTGCAGCCGACTGACAGTCATCGTGTCGTACTCACGGCTCCGAGGTGAAGACGTATCCGATGAGGTGTCTGGCGGCGCTGAGGCTCGACCCGACCACACAGGCCACCGAGACTGTTGGTGCACAAACAGAAGATGATGAGAAACTTTGGATCAGTTTCTCACTGTTGGTCTTTAGAAATCATCCTGTTAATACAAACAACAGGAAACCAGCTTTTAGCAGCTGTTTTCTAAACAGACGCTTCTCCAACTAAATGAATGAATGTGTGTTTACTTGTTGTCTCTTGTTTTGTTGTCCTCGGCTGGTTTGTTGTGTGATTTGTTGAAGTGCAGCGTTTACCAGATGTGTTAGAACACCACCCAGTGTCAGCTTTATGCCACAGCTGCTCTGAATGAGCAGCATCGGTGATAAACCAGCATCATTTCTTATGTTTCTGTAACGGGTAATACACCAGGATGGAGAAGCTCTTTGACCAAAATGAGATTTTTAATGCTGAAATATGATCATTATGGTCATCCAGGAATTTTCAAATGTACTGTTTCACAACAAAACTGAAAAAAATAGTGAAGCACGTGATTATTTCTTGATTAAGACGTGAAATTAGAGTAATTTACTTGCAGAAACATTTGTTAAAGTGGTTGAATGTTCGTCTCAGAGAAGCCCAGTGGCTCAGACTTTGGTATAAAAGGTCAATTCAGTCTGAAATTCCTCATTCATGCTCAAAATGTTAAAACGTGGAGAGCTGAGTGGCATCAAAGCACTTTGTAATGCTGGATGGTCTGTAAATATACATACACACATTAGACAGGTGGTCTAATGAACCTGTTAATTACTGTGTACAGTCCCATCTGTGTACTTCTATCGTTGCATATTGGTTGTGATCAGCCTATAAGCATCGTCTTGGCTGTTTTTTACTCGCTGTGGGTTCGTTTTTTCACTGCAACATAAAATCCTGCAGCTCTGTGGAAACAGAACAATCAGGACTGGAGGTAGACAGAACTCATAATGACAGGAATCAAAATAAAAAACTAAATTCGGTGTTACTAATACTGGAAAATAATCGAGGCTCCACATGCAGCAGATGTTTCACTACTTATCTCTACAGTGTGTCACTGTGCTGAATGTGTCGTCCATCAACCTGCTGCTCTGCTCACCGTTTCTGAGTCGTGCTGTATTTATTCTATCGCTCCAGCAGGTTTTATTTTCTCTAACTTGCTTCCTGTTCTGGTTTCCTCTGAACACTGCCTGCAGCTCAGCCAACTGTGGTTTTCCAATAAAGAGCAGAGTTTGTTGTTTTGTATAAGATCTGGTCGGCAAATGTTCAGATCAGACACGTAGGATAAAGGGGATTTGGGCTATTTTTTTAATTTAGGAAGCTTTTGGGATTCTGTGTTTACATAAATTTTGGTGCTGATGATAAACAATGAAAGCGAATCAACAGTTTGCTGGTTGAACCCAGCGGTCCTGTTCTCAGCGACTGATTCATGTTTCTGTGTTGATGATTGTCTCCAGCGATTCACTACAGCAGGAGTTCATGCATCACGGCGACCACGCCGGCCTGCACGCTCTCCTACGCTGCAGGCGGCGGTTCTTACATGCACAGATGATGGCGACTTTGCAGGAGAGCTTGGCCTGCCGCGTGTCTCCGGCGCCAAGAGCGTTTCCGACCCGAACGCTGGCGGCAACGGAGAAGCCGAGCGGGAACTGTGGAAGAAGATTCTGGATGATTAGATGCATTAAAACCAACAAGGAGCAGCAGGTAGAGGCGTCGTATAGGTGCATGTAACACACAGCGAGTGTCTGAAGCCTGTTGGCTCAGAAACATCTGATCTGTTCAACTATGAGTAGAAATGGATCTTTTAAGAGGAGATTTTAGGTAGAACTTTGTGAAAAATTAACCATCAACGCTGGCTGTGCTCCAGGATAATAAGAATATCAGACTTAAAATGAGACGACTGGCGTTAGAATTACATTTTAAAAGTGTTTGGCATCAACTTCTACAACAGAACACCTTTGTGCTGTTTTAAAGAGAAGTCCTGCAGCAAAGAACAGCGAAAGAAAACGAACTTTTCCCTCTTGTTGTTAGGTTTTGTTTGTCTTTTGTTCTTTTACTGAACTACGTCTGTAAACCTCCCTGTAAGTCTGTTTTTTTTTTTAGTTTTGTGATTCGAGACTATCTGGTCTTTACCTTAATTCACAAATAACTCAATTATGTTGAGGCAATGCGGTTTTAAATCATCTGATATCTAACTGATGCTGCACGTCTCACTTCTGCTGCATCGTGTGCATCTGTGGAGGCCAAAAAAATATAACCAGAGCACATCGACGAGTCCTGATGGAGCAGCTGAGCAGAGTTTTTGAGACTTTAACTTTGATTTATCCTACAGAGAAGCCAAATTCTTCTGGGCTTTAGAGAAATCAGGATCAGAATCAGAAATGCTTCAGAGAAAACGTATAAAATAAGCATACGAGTAGAAAAACTGTCCTAAAAATATAAATATAAGTAGAAAAGTAAAAGCTTAAAAATGTGCATTGTGCTAGAAAAATAGAGTTTAATGAATAATAAAGGAGTCATAGTTGTGTTATTGGACTTGAGGGTTAATTTAAGACATAAATGTGATGAACGGAGTCCAGAGGGAGGAGCTGAACACTCGGATGACTTCCTGTTTGCAACAGTCGACAGCCAGTTACCATGTAGGCCACGACGCACAGCTGGTAGGCGATGGACTGAGCCCCGAGCTCCACCTCGCTGATCACGCCGGCCAGGAAGCCTCCGATCTCAAACACCCACCAGGACAGACAGATCATCAGCATGCTGGGGACGGCCAGCCGGATGAAGGGACCCCACTCCTGCAGGCAGTCCAGCGACCAGCCTGAAGGTTTCAACAAGAAAGGATGGAGTTAGTGGGAAAGCCACAGCGGCAGCAGGAGGCCGAACGGAGACGTGCGGCGCTGACCTGCCCACGTGGCCTCGTGCAGGCCTCGGCAGCGGATGTAGGCGAACAGGAACAGCGTCAGCAGATACTGAGAGATGAGGTTGGCTGCTGCAGATCCACTTCAGGCAGGATTCAGAGAAAACCAGAAGTAGGAAGTTATGACTGCGATAGAACCAGGTTTTATGACTGTGAGCGTCCTGACATCCAGATCCAGCGGCTCACCGACGTCATTGTGACTCATTTTATGGGACAACTCTGAATTTCTGCACCAGCCTCCATCAACAATCCACAAACTTCACTCTGGAACCACTCAGTAAACGTCCCGACAACATTACACGACTGAAACCAAACTCACGCGACGCCCCACTGCAGAGGAAACAGGAAGACGTAGTTGATGAGCGCGTTGAGGACGTTTGCTGCTGCTCCGGTTATCACCTGAGGCCACATGATTCCCTGAAACACACACAACAGCTTCACTAAGATCATATAAGGACAAAAACACAACAACAACAGCAGCAACTGTGCATTTATTAAATTTCACACCTCGTGTAAAGAAACTGCACCTGATTTTGCAGATATTTCCCTTGAAGCTGGTAAATAAAAGCAGCCTGAAGACAAAAAACACAGAAGTTATTATTTGTACATTATGGTTGAGTAGACAAACAGTTATACGTGAATATTATCTTGTTTTATCGGCTCTTATTTGTTAAAGTTAGGAGCTAACAAGCAGCAGAGTTTAAGGACGTGAGCGGCTCGTTTCTCTGATTCAACTCCGTCCAACCTCTTTGTGCCAAAAGCTCCTGAAAGCCACGAGTGTTTTTTGGAGACTAAACTTTTACCATTAAGTGAAATTAAACAATAATCCTGACAGAAGATCAAGAGTGGGAGCAGAGGAGGCTGACACAAGCTGATGAGGCTGTCCGTCCACATTACAGCAGCTTAACGCTCACCGCCGCCTTCGGTTTCACTCCTGGATTGTTTTAACTTTCCTGGAATCAGTCTCAGCGCTTCTTCCTATTTTCTTGCGACACACTCAGCCCTTCATGCTGCTGGTTGTATCACAGCAGCCACCTTCCTCTTTCTAAACTCACTGAGCTGTTGATTTTACAGCCAAGTTTCTCCTCCGAGGACTCAAACATCAGAGGTAACTTTGCTTCAACAGCTTCTGCAGAAAGACTGTCGGCTCAGGTTTGGTTTTTAAAAGCTGAACATCACGTCACCCATCAGCGTTCAGCACGACCCGGTTAAGAAAAACCTTCCCCCCAAAAACAGGAAAGAAATGGAAAGCATGCGGAACCGAGTGGAGCAACATGTTCAAACCACAGTGGAGACGATCAGGAGGACAAACACACGAGTTCAGGACCAGGAGTCCATAAAACAACAAGAAATGTATCGATGCAGCCGATT